CACAGCAACCTGCTCTCTATGTATATATATATATATGTATATATATATATATGTATATATATATATGTTTCTATATATATATATATATCCACTCAGCTGAGACACTATAACCCTACTTAAGGTATTGGGGTGTTGAGGTGATGCTTGGGGATTTTCACCTCGAGGCTTGCCAGCGTTCAAAAGCTTCGGATGCTTTCCCCAAAGCCTTCCTAAACCCTAGACCCTATAAAACCCGAAACCCTAAACCCCATAAAACCAGAGACCCTATAAAACCCGAAACCCTACACTCCGAAGCCCTGGGGCGTTGCTGCTACGGCGCCTACGGCTTCGAAGCCTCCCCCAGGCTTCCTCTCTGCAGGAAGAGGGGTTTAGGGTTGAGGCTTCGGGGTGTACACATTGGTGAAACATAATTCCCCCCTCAAATTTATATATATATATATACGTATGCATTGTATAGATATTATATATATATATATGTCAAGAGGGATGTATAGGGTTTAGGGTTCTGGCCTTAGGAAGATCCTGAACCTCAGGCACCCGAAGAAAGCCCGCATGGACAAAGCTGCACTACCCTAAACCCAGATCGTAAACCCTTGCCCAAATCCTCGGCAGGTCCAAACCCGACAATTTGGAGCTCAACTCTATCCCGTCTCCCACCGAGCATTCTTTTTGGGGGGGATGGCGGCAGGGTTCAAAAACTACAGGATCTTTATAACAACTTTTTAAAAACAAGGACATTAGGGTCCCGTATTCTCGGATCTTTGTGTAAGTCAAGGTCCTACCACTTGATTAAACAATAGGAATCTTTGCCAGGATCCCTCATTTCCGAATTTCCCGATGTTTTGAAACTCCCATTTGCAACAGGCACCTCCACGTAGCCCATCTGCGCCGCGAGGTGAATGGGTGCCAAATTGAAGTCCATGCTGCGGCCCTGCGAGAGCTTTAGGATTCATGTGCTGTTGAACTGTGACGCCCACGACCACGAAGACGACGACTACCAGCTCGACAACCACTACCGCTACTGGCGCAACTGACCATATCCCAGGGCCCAATACCCCTTCACGAAGCAACATACCTTAACTTTTGAGGGACTAGGTAATACGTGTCATGTTCGAATAAATACGTACAAATATACATGTGTATATGTGTATACCTATATATATATATATACATGTATGTAGATGTGTGCATAGATTCATAGAGATATGCACACAAGGTATATCCCTGTATCAAGGGGTATTGGGGCTCTCTGGACACCTTGTGGGCAGTTCTCTAAATTAGGGTCCCTTTTTGGGTCCCCAACATAGTACGGCACCCTTATAAAAAGGACCCCCAAAAGGGACCCTAATTTAGAAAACTACCCTTGCGCAAAACAAGAGATCTGGGGCGACCTCCGGGTCGGCGTGGCCCAGGAGTAGCAGCTTGACGATGTGAGCATGGCCGGCCCCACAAGCCTTGCTTGATGAAGGTTGAGGGTTTAGGGTTTAGGGATTAGGGTTTAGGGTTTAGGGTTTAGGGTTTAGGGATTAGGGATTAGGGTTTAGGGTTTTGAAGCACTTGGGTAGTTCTCTAAACAAGGGTCCCCTGTTAAGTCCCCAGTATAGTAGGGCACCCTGATAACAAGGACCCGTAGGCTTCAGGGTGTAAGCACTTAAGGGGTCAGGGGGCACGGGTTTGTGGTTTAGGCGGTTCAGAAATTGAAGCTTGAATCTAGGGTTTAAGGATGAAGGGATAGGGAAGAGAGGAGGCGGCTAAGCAAGGGGCCTGTCTCTTTTACTAAGAGGGGACTAAGATGGCAGGTCTTGTGTGTGTGTGTGTGTTGCAGGATGATTGTGTAGCTGCTTTAAAGTGTGGGACAAGGGATGGGGTTGAGGAGCCTTTTCCTGGGCTTCCGGGCTTGGGGTACAGAGGCTGGAGTGTTAGAAGTTGCTAGGCTCAGGGTCTCGGACATTTCGGACTTTCAACCTCAAGCCAGCAAGGTTTTCTCCGATGCGAACTGCCAGTTGGGCGCAGGTTGGAAGAACCCATAGCCACAGGGGAAAGAAGCCGGCAACACACCCAAGCAACCGAGATCTCTGCCTGGTGTGCCTGAAACATGCTACAGCGTCATGGGGGTTCAGAGGACCACAGCTTCAGCATCCTCGACCTCTGAAACTTCAAGCGTTCCCATGGGAGAAGCGCCAGCCGCAAGTGTGCAGTTCCCAATGCGGTTGTCAAGACGTCCTCGAGGCACCCCTTGGGGATGAAGTAACGTAAGGGCCTCAACAATTAGAATAGGGTTTTGGGGCCCGTTATTATACTATACTTATAATAAGGAGCCCCCAAAATATAGGTGATTATTTAGGCCCTATGTTAATCCTTATGCGAAGCTCAGAGCAGCTTGGCATCATGAACATCTGCTTTGGGCACCAGAAATGGCTCGGAATTCCTCAGCCCCTTGCCCTAAACCCTACACCGCAAACGACCAAACCCTAAACCCTAGCCCTCAAACCCTCAACCCCTCCCTAAACCGCTAAATCCCGAACCCCTAAACCCCTCAAGCCTTAACCCCTATAAACCCTAGAAACCCCTAAACATCAGAAGGCCTGCGGAGCTCCCAGAAACCCTCGAACCGCCAGTCCCTCAAAGCTCGCAGCCCCCAACCACGGCGGCCAGTTCTCTACATTAGGGTCCCTTCTTGGGTCCCCCCCCCAAACATAGTAGAACCCTAAACCCTAAACCCTAAACCCTGATAAAAGAGAGACCCCTAGAAGGGACCCTAATTTAGAGAACTGCCCATGGGGAGGTCTGGGTTCCTTCAAACGTTCCTTGCTCAGGGTTATTAGAAGGAGTCTTTTCAGGGCTCCTTTCAAGCTTTCTACAAGGGTTCTTCTACGGCTTCCCTTTAAGGGTTCCTATAAGGATTCTTTTAAGGTTTGCCGTGATAAGGGTTACTAACTATCAGGGTTACTAGAGGTGCCTGAGGGGTTCAGATAGCACTGGCTAAGCCGCAAGCCCTCACCCCCACAAGGCCCTAAACCCTACAGTAAACGTCTTAGGGTTGCTGCCCGCGCAGCCCTAAACCCTAAACCCTAAAGCCCCGAACCCAAAATCCTAAACCCTAAAACCCTAAGCCCCAAACCCTAGACCCTAAAACCCTAATGCCCTAAAGCCCCGAACCCTATCTGCCTTGAAAAGCACGGGATTTCCACTCTTGTCGGGGATGTTCGGGTCCTGCGCTAAACGGCGAATCCGGGCTCATGCAGGGTTTTTGGGTCTCGGGCTTAGGTTGGGGTTTAGGGTTTGGGGCTTGGGGTTGAGGGTTTCGGGTTTGGCGTTTAGGGCCTTGTAGCGTTTAGGGGGTGCCCCCACCCTTTAAGGGCTCCATATAATTATGCAAAGTAAAGATTCTCCAACCGTTACAGAGCGGGGGGAGTATACTGTAACGGGTTTCGGGTTGTTCTTCAAACATGTAGTGGACCTTTCCAACTGCTGAAGGCATACGGCGGGCCATTGCCGGCACATGTATAGGAGTTTCAGAAAAAAGGGGACCCTGCAGTAGAACCTTTGCTAGGAGGATACATTGGTTTGCTGGCTTTAGGGTTTCAGGGTTGGGTGGCGTATGTTTGTGTCTCTCAGTACTAAAGGCTTATAAGGACTTCGCTATTACTTTTGTACTTTAGGTTTGGGGCTAGGCTTCCGGTTTCATGGTTCTGCGGTTGTCGGGGTGACCGGATGCGGGTGTGCAAGCGGCCCCCAGCTTAAACGCCGCTACTAAAAAACACACCGCAACCAAACCCTAACCCGAAGCCCAAAAGCCCTAAGCCCAAACGCTAAGCCCTTAACAACACACCCCAACTAAACCCTAAGCCCAAAAGCCCTAAAGCCCTAAGCCCTAAACCCTACGCCTCGGGACTGAAAGGTCTATAGCACAGGGGTGTAACTTTGGTGCCTGAGTACTTGTAGTTTAGGGTTTAGTGTTTTGTGGTTTTGTGGTTTAGGGTTTATGGTTTGGGGGTTTAGGGTCGGGCTTGGCGACCTTATGCAGAAAAAAACGAAGTTAGCTCATGCTATTCCTGACTCTTCACAAACTATTGCTAAGCCCTACACCCTGCACATGAATGCCCGCATGCCAGCTGGCTCCTGACCGAGCTCCAACACTTCTGTGATGGCCTGGAAGTCAGCAAAAGAAGCCTCTTCTAATCAGCAAATCCCTTAATCCTAAACCCTAAACCCTACATAAACACCACAACCCTGATTAAGGAAATCTGGCATCAGGCATAAACAACTTTCTAGAATAACCCTGAAAGCGGCTCTTGTACATAGGCGTGTGTGCCCTTTGTCTTCGGCTTCGAGGCTTCTGGGGCCTTAACAATTATAAAAGGTTGTTGCCCATAAGGGGCTATAAGGGAGGGCGGGTTCGGAAATAGATACAGGGAGCCTTAAGGAAGACTCTTATCACGGCCCCGGCAAAGCGGCCTCTGATGTGAAATCTTCAGGCGTCCGATTTGTTGCAGGATGTTGGGGATTGGGGAGGGTAGCCTACAGGAACAACTCGGGGTTAGGGGTTACCTAAAGCACCCAAAGTAGGCAAAATAACTGCCCACCAAGTATAAAAGGCTGTTAGTCTCCATACATGTGTGGTCCTAGGGGTTTAGATTCAAGGTCAACTGCCCACATTGGCACACTCGACATTGCCAACGGTCCTCAAAAGTGGGTGGATGCTGCACATCGACCTTCGCAGACGGTCACAACAGATCCGTCGGCACAGCAAAAGCGCCCTTGGACGGCGGCGACAGCATCGGCACACTCGCCACCGCCACCTTCGACAGCGAATCCTAAACCCTAAACCCTAAACCCTAAACCCTAATACGGAGGCGAAGCCGTTGGCGATCCCATGCTGCAATGCCGTACTTGGAGGATCATGGGACTTAGTAAGTAAGGTTATAAGTGCCCTAATTCGGGTTATAAGTATAGTTACCTTACTTATAAGCCTAGTTACTAAGTCCCATGATCCTCCAAGTACCCTAAACCCTCGACCCTTCGAGGGATTCGTTGACGGCCTCAGCTCAGGGCCGGTTAAAATCTTGACAAGAACACAGCAGCAAAGTATTCTCCGCTTTGAGAGTCTTCGCCTCATCACGAAGAAATTAAGCATGACCCTAAACCATAAACCGTGATCCTGCAACTGACCTCGAAGGCTGTAATTCAGGGCCGGCAGAGGTTTAGGGTTTGGTTGCTGCAAAGGAACCCCCAACAACAAAAGGCCCCTCAACTCTAACCGAAACCCCCTAAAGTCGGGCAAGCATTCTCCTTTTTGTTTGAGGAGTCTCAACCCTAAACCCTTAAACCCTAGCCCCTTTACCCCTAAACCGTAAACCCCAAAGCCCTGCACCCTAAACCCTGAGGGGGGGCTCAAGCGGGTTCATGGACGCTCCGGACTTCGGCAGTCTGGTCGAAACCTTGACGCCAAGGCTCTGGGCACGAAGACGAAGCCGAAATCAAAGTTGAAGGAGTGGGGCTCAGGGTTTGGAGTTTTCTTCGGGTTTAGATTTTGGGGTTCAGGGTTCAGGGAGATTTTTCGGGTCTAGGGGTTTAGGGTTTAGGGGTTTAGAGCTTGGGGTTCAGGGTTACAGCCCTATACCCGAAAACCCAAGCTCAAGATACCCTAAACCCCGAAAATGCTAAACCCAAATGGCCGAAACCCCAAACCACCTCAACGAATCCTTATAGAACCCTTCAAGCAACTTTGTTTAATGAGCCTTGAAAGGAGCCTTTGAAGGAACTCTTAAAAGGACCATGCCTCGGCAGATGCGGCTGCCGTGGCTAAGTGCAGGTCGTCCTGAGAATACAGTCTCGTTTGTATTGCAAAGCCAAGGGGAAGTTTTTCAATTGGGACTATAGGGGAATACTATAGCTAGAGGCTGTCAGTTGGGGCTATAGGGGACTACTATAGCTAGTAATTCCTGCTCCTATAGTCTGGGAGTCCCAAACCGGAACCCTGAAACACTGAAACACCTAAGCCCTAACCCCGAAGCCCTGATCCATCAGACCCTAAAGTCCATAAGCCCTCAACCCTAAATCCGAAGCTTCTGTGATTCACATCGTTCTGGGTCAGTTTGGGAGCTGGATGTTGCATCGGGGGGGCTTCTCATACTTTGCTACTGAACCAGGGTAATGATCAGAATCATCATTCATCAACATCGCCATCGTCATAATCACCACGAGGAACGTAGTAAAACGTTGTTCCTCATCATCAGCACCCTAGTAACTTCAAGGCAACATGTCGATAGTGGCTCAGAGAGATGGGGAGATGTACCACTATAAACTTAGACCTAAACCCTGAAATCACCTAACCCCCTTCTCCCCCCCCCAACCCCAAACTATGAGGGCCCCAAGCCTTGTACAATGAACCGCGCACCTTAAAATCTAAACCCTCCAGCCCTTCTCCCCAAACATTAATATAGGTGCCTTAATCTTTCGAGAAGGGTTTTGGAGCCTATAATTATAATAAGGACCCCCCCAAAATAGTATTGATAATTATTTACGCCCCTTGCCTGAACACTAAAGTCTCCACCCCGAACCACCGCATGGCTTGAACAGAAGGGTAGTTCCCTAAATTAGGGTCCCATTCCCCAATATAGTACGGCACCGACACAAAACCCTGCGACTTCGGGTTTTACGGCTCAGGCTCTTCATATCTCGGTGTTTAGGGAAAACAGGTTTTAGCTAATCTACGCTTCCACGATTAGGCTATCAGATAAGCTAGATGATGCTACGTACTTGCAGTCGGTTTAAGGGGCGTCGTTTAGAAAGCTCATATACCATCTCCATATACTTGTCAGATATGATTAGAGGGAGGGGAAATCTGAAAAAACGCCTGAACAACTTGAACACAAACAAACTCAGATTTTACCTTCGCGCTTCCCTATCCATCATGAAAACAGCATGTCTCACACTTTCTAACTCATAACGATTGGAGAACCAAATTACTAAGTATTCCGGCCTGTGATTTACTATTCTTTGAGAGCGCGCAAATCTCCACGACCGAGCATCATTCAAGCTGGTCAAGACCGGATCGATGGAAGCAAACATGTTGTGCCTTGGCACAAGCTTCCAGACCGTAAGCAAGCTTGGGATTCCGGGCTTCAGGGCTAGGATTCATCCCAGAACTCGTAAACTACCCTACAACCCTAAACCCGAAACCCTAGACCCTAAACCCAATCCTTGAAACTTCCTTGCAAAGGCGCCCCGTGTCATGCCCGGAGTGATGCAACGCGGGGAACGGTGGAGCCCGGAGGATTTGGGGCAGTCTGGATAAGGCCCGTAATAATTAGACGAGGGTTTTGGGATGCTGTTTAGGGTTTAGGGTTTTAACGTTTATACCAGTATGGTATGCTATAACATATTATAAGCACATGAGGAACCCCTATGGGCTATTTTGGTGTATGTTATATTCTTATGGTAGTATACAAAAACTAAATTGCTCAGGCTTCTACATTGCTGGGAGAGACTTTATCGTCGACGGTCCCTGTCTGGGGTCATGGTTGTGATAAACAACAGAACCCTGGAATAGAACTTCCCAAAGCCTTAAACCCTGAACCCCAAACCCTGAACCCCGACAACCCTAAACCCCTAACCCCTGAACCCTAAACCCCTCGACCCCTCCCTACCCCACACACACCCTGAACCCGAACCCCTAAACCCTTAACCCCTGCACCCTGAACCCCTAAACCCTGAACACTAAACCCTAAATCTGTAAACCCTGAATCCCTGAACCCTACACTCTTCCGAAGTCTGCGGGCTTGGCCTTTACCATTTACGCATTCCCTAGGCGGAGTCGGCCACCCGAGTTGCTCAGTTTTCGTTCCTCCAATATCTCATGACGGTGTTGGGCAGGATCCACAGCTTAAAGCTCAAAATGGTTTATGGTTTAGGATGGTGGGTTTCGGTGTTTAGGATGTTGGGTTTGGGGTTTTTATAGGTTTGTGATGTACCGCATCGATGCCCCGAAAACCCGGAAGTTTCAACCATAAACCTCGAAACCCTAAAGCCCTAAGCCGTAACTACCTGCAGCCCTTTGAAGCCTGAAACTCCTTGTTTCAGGTACAGTATGGAATCTCGCCGCGGGTTGCTGTTGGTTTGCTCACGGTTTCTGATGGTCTTCGTGGTCTCAGGACCAGGCTCCTAAACCCTTAAACTCTCAAACCCTAAACCTTAAACCCTAAACCTTTAAAACCCTAAACCCTTAAACGCCTAAACCCTAAGCCGCTAAACCCTACTCCCTAATCCCTCTGCCCAGACTCCCTTCCCCAAAACCGTACGACCTCCACCAATCCTGAACATGAAAGCGCTGCAGGTCCATTAGAGTTTACGGTTTAGGGGTTCTGGGGTTCAAACAGGGTTCAGGGCTCAGGGTTTAGGTGTTTAGGGGTTTTGGGGTTTGACGAGTGGTAATGGTCGACGGGTTCAGGGGTTCAGAGAGGGTTTAGGGTTTAGGGTCTATCTGCCACCATGCTGCGGACAACCAACCTTCTTCCAACCATCTGAATCTTTGATGATCTGCAGAGACTGGTTCGCATTGGGGAGCATCGATTTCGGGGTTTAGGGTTTAGGGTTGAGGGGTTCAGACTTTGCGGCTGGGATAGAGAGTTGGGTATATCTCGAGATGGCCTTGCTTAGGAAGTGTTAGACGCCTAGGATCCTAGGTATCAGCGGCCTGCCAACGGCCGCAGAAGCAGAAAACGAATCCCGAAACCCTAAATCCGACGCCCTAAATCCTCACAGCCAAACAGAACAACCCCTGACGAACTTCACAATCTTCCCCTGGAGCAGACCCCAACCCTCCATGGCCAATGCTCCCAACGACAGATCTTTTGCTTGGGGCTTAGGGTTTAGGGATTAACCCTAAACCCTAAATCCTCAACCGCACGCCCTGACCCCTGAAGGGCTGGCTCGGCTTTGGCGCCCAAAAGAAGGTTTCCTTTACTTAATTAAGGGTTCCGTTAAGGGTTCCTGTAAGGGTGGAACTTTCAATGGTTTCCTTCAACAGCTCCGAAACTTCGCCTATATGCTGCCGCAACTCCCACACAACCTCTAAAGCCCCTAATATAGGGGCCTTTTTGATGACCTATACTGTTGAAGGGGCTCCTTATTATAATCGCGATAGTATGATATATCCCAAAACCCTATTCTAACTATGCAGATCCTGAAGACTCGACATAACTCGAAACCTCATGTAAAGCCCGGATTCGGATTCCAATTAGGGCGATTCTAGGACCTCCAATAACCCAGGAATAAAAACAGTTTGGGGTTTAGGAGAGTTTAGGGTTAAGGGGCTCCGTTTTTGGTACTGGGCAGTGTTATAAGGAACCTAAGACCACAAGAAGGGAAGAAGGATCCACTGGGAGCCTCCAAACCCTCGAAACCTTTCCTCATTTCCAATAAATATAAGGGCCTTAACAATTAGAATAGGCTTTTGGGGCCCATTATCCTATAATTTACAATAAGGAACCCCATAATAGTATAGGCAATTATTTCGGCCCCCTACAGTATTCTAGGGGATTCCCCCCGAACCCGAGTGCTGGACCCTAAACCGACCTGAACCCAAAAAGAGGCGGACACCGAAACCAAAAGGCTTTCATGGCTGGAATCGGTTAGAATAATGTTTTTGTAGGCTTGTTTTATCAGGTAGGGGCCTTAGTCCTTAGCAATTAGAATAGGGTTTTGGGGATGCTCGGAATGGTGATATAGTCGGCATAGCTTTATACAGGGTTGTAGGGGGGCGGTCTCATTAACTCTTCAGGCCTTTGTAATGGCCTCAAACTCTAAGTATGGTAACCCTGTGATAACCTCTGAAACCCTCATACCAACCCCTAGAGTAACCTTTCGACCCCTTCAAGGGGAGCCCTCAACGGACCCCTCAAGGGAACCAAAGTCCTAAAACCCAAAGACCACCCTAAAAACCCCAAAACCCAAAACCCAAGGCCCCCCCCCCTCCCCCCCGGCGCCTCCTGCGCCTCCTCTGAATCGAACTCCCGGAGCTTCACCCGGAAGACGTTCACTTGCGCTACCTTCCGTAAGGCTTGGGGTTCAGGGCCAAGGCCGGGCCGAAATCCTTCGAAGGATTTCAACCCTACCACGCACGCCTACTACACCCCATGGGACTTATAGTAACCTAGGGTTATACATAAGGTAGCTATAATTATAACCCCAACTAGGGTACTTATAACCCTAGTTACTAAGTCCCATGATCCTCCAAGTAGATCCCTGGACCCTAAACCTCTATATTCCCTAAACCCCTTATAAATCCTAGCAGGGCTTAGACCCCTGCCCTTTTGGGTCCGCAACATAGTACGACCCTCATATGAGAGGGACCCTAAAAGTGGCCCCAAGAAAGAGAACTACCCACATGCTAGTACGGCTTAGGGCTGGGGGCCAGGGGTTTAGGCTCATCGGGAAACCTCTGCATTAGGGTCCCTTTGATATCTATGCGTTCCTGAAGGGTTCCTTCAAAGGGCTCCTGTAAAGGTACCATAGGGGTTCAGAGTTTTTGGTATATAGTATATGGGTAGTTCTCCAAATCAAGGTCCCTTTTGAAGAGCCCGAACGAAGGCGGCTCCCAGATGAAAAGGAGCCCAAAAGGGACGCTAATCTCACTGGCCCAAAACCCAAG